TCATTTGCGAGCGAGTCGAATGCCAATACTTACTTCAAATCACGATAGGCCAGATTTACCTGGAAGCAAGCTTATCCCGTTCAAATTATCGCATATTCAATCTACCAGGAGTGATAATCCAGAGCTGATTCGGCGGGAAGAACGGCGGTTCACTCGGACCAACGATTAGCAAGCCGCAAGCGACCTACATAATTTCCAACAAACCGCCTTTCAATAGTACAAAATACAGAACTCACCTGAGTTCCTGCTTCATTCTCAGGTAAAACCCAACCATCCTTCGTCACCGGGTTGTCAATGCTGAAAAACTATGTTTAACCTCACTCCAGCTCGACGAAGGAACCTACTTACATGTAGACATCTTTTCCAACATCCGGAGCATTCGTAAGACACCATCTAACGCCCTCATCTACCCCCTCAAACAACGACGCAAACACCTGGCGATTTTTCGAGAACGCAGGAGCACCGCCAGCTTTGATGGTGTAAACCCCAGATTGCTCTTCAATTACCCACTACGACGATCACAAAGAATGCTCAGGTTGATTGCCAATTCATTCAAGAATCAAGACTTACGGGATACGCCCGTTGTCCAGAAGCGATAGAAACAATCGGCTTGGGAAGGAGACTATGATCTTCGTGGGCTGCCCGCTGGACGAAAGAATCGAAGCATTTATTGCGGATGAGGTATTTTCCTGTAGGGAGCGTCATTTTTGACGGTGCTCTGGAAGACGTACCTTCGGGCTTTTATATATCGTGATCGTAACAAGATCGTAAACTTCATTTCCACGCTTGTGCGATAGAATTCGAGGAAGCGTGAGGTTGTTTGTGTTAGGGGTATGGAAGGTCCGTTCATATAAATCACTTGACACTCGCTAGATAGCAAGAACGAAGCTTACTTTGCTGAGCTCAGAGCTTGGCGCACATAGTGAGGAAGCATCTAAAAATAAAGGTTACAGCTGGCGAACCATTCGACCAGCTAAATGAGGTCACGATGAACGAAATATTCAACGGAAATGCCTTTTCTCCTGTTCCGGACGAAAGAAGACCGCACCAACGTATGCAGTATGTACCCACTGTCAGACGCGAAAACGCCACAAGATGCCCAAGAAATATCTAGTCTATGAATCATAGATAGCAAAGTACAACAATAAATGGGCACAGGAAAATTTGCGTGGCACGAGCGTGGCGTGCGTGTAGGTGCGTGCAAGGGTCTAGCGTGCAGGGAGGGGCTGCGTGCACTGACAGAGGATGTGCGTGCATGCTCCTAGCGTGCACCCGGGCGCGCGTGCATAATATATAGGGTGCGTGTATGCGCACCTCATAGTATGAGGTGCGTGCATAATAAAAACAGTCAAGTATCTTACTGTTTCATAATGTACACTAGTGTGGCCCTCCTGTAGGATACTTAATTGTTTACAGCCATGTGCTGAACATAGGGCACGGTCTTCTTGATCATCTTGGGGCATGGTTTGGGAAGCGATTTCTTTTCCGTCAGTTGTATTATCTCTTCGCGGTGAATGTAATCGGGTCCAAACTATTTGACATCATGTGAGTCACCTCAAACTTAGTGGGTTTCACTTACCTGAAGATCATCACCATCTCCGGGACAATCCTGGTGATTCAAGTCTTCCATCCTTGCATACGGATCCCAATCTTGGTGATGTCCTGTGTCCAAGCCCCATTGACAATAACTCGTGATCCCCACAGCTCTCGAAACCTCAAACATCTTGGTCTCCAGATTCTCCAAGGCCTCGCGTTCAACATCAATGTCGAACAAGACTGAAGGGATACTTGTAAATTGGATCCTCCAAGCCTCGTTGATGATTTCTGGCTGTGTGAGTACCTTGAACTTTGGTTCATTTTTGATATGTTCTGCGGTGTAAAGGGTGAACACATGAGCTAGCAGTAAGCACCCGAGCCAGGTCTCTGCATTTTTGCTGATGTGACACAGAAACCAATTTGCAATCTGGGCTCTCTCGATGATAGAAAGAGCTCCGCAATACAGAACCAAGCTTGTTTGAAGAGGCTTTTTGCCATTTTCTAACCAATCTCTTGCCGGGATGATTTCACTCTTCAGGTCATCCGGACCATAGCATGTGAGTAATTTCTTCAGAAGCTTTTTGAATGGCGAGAGGATTTTGTTGATTTCCTCGCTGTATGGTATTTTAGATGGATCCGCGAGAATGTCTTCTGAGGTTTTGACGTCCCGGGCATGTTTCCATTTTCCGAGCTAAAAATGTGGATGAGTACATTATCTGATTAAACCAATGGTGTCACTCACCCGTATTACTCGTCTTGCCAATCGGTCGTTCCACAACGAATCAACGATGTCCTTGGTATTCACAACAGAAAATCCACCAGCTGCAGGCTCATCCTTGTCAAGATATTGATTTTCCCTCCACCAATGCACCCTCCAACCGTGTTGCACTGCCTGAATGAGGCGCACCGGATACCAAAACAGCTCACGTCTCGCTAGCGCGCCTCTCCCCGCTCTAATGAACAAATTTAAGTACCATTCATAGTGGAGAATATCAAGGTCTGACCGTAATCGTAACTCGAGTGGTTTATTCAATGCAAGACGTGCCTCGAGCTCCCTGTAAGATTTTTTGGTCAACTCAAACACTAATATGGACAATTCAAATCCTTACTTTCATTTAGACTTCCTTGACAAGGGAAAATGGTGCGACAAATCACATGAATCACAGATAAACGGGGCATCTGGCACAAGGTTACTGGCTCTTCCATCGCGCTGGCACGCAATATGAGACCAATCACAACATTGATCGCATTGGATAGCCACCTCATGCTCGTGATGATAAAGAATATTACCATTACCGATGATCCCACATCGGCAGTTCAACTCAAATTCTGAATCTGGGAGAGAAGACAGAGGGCTAGGTGGAGTAGTCGGTGATCCAGGTTGGGAGATTACACCTTCCTCGGGCTCTGGAGACAGAGATTCCTCAGTAATGTCAGCTGGTGCATCGTGAGAAACATACTCAAGGGTCCACGATCTCAAAGGGTTCAAAAGCCAGGTGCACTTGTTGCTCTCGAGCTTGACAAATTGGTCTGAGTGGTAGGTCGTTGAAAAGAGCCTGTCAAGGTTATTTGTCAAGAATCGCAAATTGAATTTCTTCGCGAGGGCAGCTGTTCAAACTTGAAAGCATAAATCCTGTGCAACAGCTCCTCCACAAAGCAAATAAAAAGCCTGATAGACCACAAAATTTTGAGGTAGGCCAACATGCTTTCTGGCCACATGAGTATCAAAGCTGGCAGGTTTGTCTCTGATTGGGTGACCATTATTCGTCAAATCATCATATGTATAGATAGTGTTTGAAAGTCCGGTTATTGGGTGCCCAGGGGCTCTAACCGAGACCGAGACCGGTTAGCCTTTGTCCCGAAACCTAAAATAACCGAACCGGACCGCAACTAACCGGTTACGGTCGGTTATTTGCAGTTACTAACCGGTTAGGACCGAAAAATAAAGAATCGGTTATAACAAGGCAAATATGTTCATATGTATCTTGATAGATATTATTTCTGCATATTCTAGCTTTAAAACGAGCCCAAGAATGCTAAAATTGGCGAAGAATTGACATATTTATGCAATTATCCTTGAAAGTCTACACATTTGAGTGATATTTTAGAGATTTGACTGTAACTTAGTCAAATTTTAAGTGTTTTCGACGTTCTCAAGTGCGTTTTGAAGGTGTATAATAGGGCTGGTTATAACCGGTTATTTAACGGTTAGTTAACCGCAAAATAACCGGTTATTCCATTTTCGAAATCAACTAACCCTAACTGTGGTTAGGTTAGTGTTGCGGTTAGGTCCGGTTATTTTCCGGTTATTTTCCGGTTAACTAACCTAACTTTCAAACACTATGTATAGATGACCTTCTTGTTGTCCGAGGCATACCGAGCAATAAAATGATTGCCATCTTCGTTGGTCAAGGCTAGTCCCATGAGATCATAAACAAGTCCATGAGAATTTGCCACAGATTGGGTATGAGGAAGCAGCGTCGAAGGAAAATCCCATTCCTGAGGCATGGTCTTGGATGGATGCTCATCACCAACTTCAATAGTGAAAAGAAGCAGGAGAGAAGTAAGCAGATAACAAATATCTTCTCTGGCACCCAGACAAAGAGGTACAGTCTCCTTGACACGCCAGCAACTAGTTGCTGGAACTTGCTCTTTGTCTAGGGAGACCCAATCCACAAAATCTCCCTGAAACTGTTTGAAGTTGTGTGGTGTCAGCTGTTGGATTCGTCGTCGTTGAGGGTGGTGAGAAATCTCAACATGAGGACCACCAATACTGGACGATCCCGTGCAGTAGTGAATCTCGATGAAGAGTGTTTCGAAAGTGGAAACTGGACGATAGGATGAATGCACTTCCTCCAGTTTGACCAGCTCTGCAAACCAGGCCTAAAAAGAAATGAATCAGTCTCAGGTGAATATGGCAAAGATACATACAAAAAGTGATTCAAATCCACTAACAGTCTTGATAACCTTCTTTTTCTTCAGGTGGGTATGTAGGGAGTCCTGTTGACAACAGAGGAATGTTGATGTAGTCTTTTCAACCTCATTGAGATCATACCGCTCCAACAAATGAGAAAATACTGGACGTATTGCAGAGTTTTCTGGAAGTGCATTATAAATAGCCTTGAATTCGTTGACTGAACAGTGCATGGTGGTATAGAGAAGTTGCAACAAAGAGTCGAGCCAGCAAGAATTCTTGAACCAGGGATAGCTCGGCAGGTCTTGAACAGCAGGACTGGTAGCCGGAGACTCTGCTATCTTTGGGTCTGGTTTCATCGGCTTTGGTTTCTTCAGCTCTGGTTCCTTTTTTGTGAAGCTTTTCAATGTCAATTGCTTTTGCTTTGCATTTGTGCCCAAGAGTTCCTTGTTCGTGTCTGGTGGGTGTCCGTCATTCTTTTTGCACTTTTTATCTGCAGGTTTTCTGGAGCATGTGGGTTTTGTTCTACCAATATTCTCCTTGACAATCTTCCATGGCTCTGCTTTGCCATAGCGGATTGGCTTCCCTTCTATTGATTTATCTGCATTAGAATACATTCAAGAGACAATAAAAAAGGAACTCACAAGTTGCTCCATCATGAAGGCGTTCATAATATACAGCGACAGCATGTAAGGAGTACATCCCTTCTAAAAATTCATGATTACGGCCGCAGGCACTGTAAAGCTTCCAATGAATCGCTTCCTCTGTGTTATTGTCAGCTGGCAGAGAATCCCAAAGATCAATATGCATTTTTCTCTCAGACTCGAAGAGCATAAACACATCAGCCAGCCATGTCCACCATTCCATCCAGGAAGCAAGCTTAGGGAAATCACATACCAGGAGAAAAGCCTGTGAGGTGAATTCTGCTGAGGTTGGAAGCGTTAAGAGGCCCAATGCATGCATGATAAATGTGTCTGCCATTGCAGGTGAAATGATGCCAGAGATACGGCTGACACGCATAACACCAGCGCAGTAATGTTCTCTACATCCTTTCAGGAGATGCTCTGCAGCCACCTGAAGCTCCTGCCGATTTCGTGTATTATCAGGTCGAGCCATCCAGAAGACAACAAAGCCTTGGATGAATCCACTACGCTCTGCCTCACTGAAGTCCATGACCTGACAAATTAACAATTCAACGAGGGAAAAGTTGGTGGAATAAAAATGATGACATACCCCTGCGAAGAGATCATCTGTTATGGGAATCCCTCGTGCTTCTGCCTCATGAGCGATGCTCATAATAACTGCAAGGAAGTGGTTCTTGAAGTGGATGGCACTAGCTCTGTTTGAGTAGGATAAGACTCCAGGAACCCAGCATAAGAGTGTTGAGCAATAAGTCGAAGAAACAACAAGGAGGGAAGTTTGCTCCTTCCAAAAGTCATGAGTAGTGTCATTCACCATTCCATTGACTGAACCCTCCAAATGCTGATTCTTGACCATTTGTGATCACATGAAATTTGTCTGGACCGATATGACCACCTCTTCACTGAGAGTGGAATGGATAACAAAGTTTGGATGCTCGTTAGCGAACTTGGAAAATGAGGCTAACAGAGCATCAGTGCCCTGGACATGACCCTTCTTGAGTTTTGAACACTCTTTGCTGACCTGGTGAGCATTCAAAAACACATCTGAGATATCTGCGATGGATTTGCCAGGCCCATTGAGTCCTGGAACTCCAACAATTAGTTGAAGCGGTCCTGATTTTGGATACGCCTTGACTAATTCTTTGAATTGTCGCTGTTCTTTGGGAAAGAGGTGTAGTAAATGAGTCAGTTGACGGTGCGTATGAAAGCCACCATTTTCGTAATGAACACCATCCGACCATCACCAGAGGTAAGAAATTATGTTGCACCTGCAGTGAGAGAGCTCAGCCCCACATTGACATGGTTCGGTTAACTGCTTGTTAATTCCTTGAGCCACTGTGTGGGGTCGGACAAGTGTTTTGCAAAGTGGATTGTCACATTCAATGACCCCCAGGCAGTGTCTTGAGGATTTCTTCCCTCCCTCCCAGTTTTTAGCGTGCTCATTTCCTTTTCAATCACCTCCATTAACTTGAACGGCCCAATGCACATGGAGATTTCCTGTTTCTTCTATCTCTGCAGGTGTAAAGTTGTGCTTGACGTTTCCATTGGGCCAACCGACCCATTCCCCGGTGTCAATATAAACCGAATCAGAGGGATCACTTTTGTGTAGAGTGGGGAGAGGCGAGGATTTTAAAGGTGTGGAAGTGACTGGTACATAATTCCCATCTGAGGTATGCTTGTAAAAGACATTGTCTTTTGATACAGAATTCCCAGACTGCGAGGCACCTTTATTCTGGGAGATAGCAATAGCTTCTGGATGTAATTTTGAAAATCAGTCCAAATCCATGATTTCAATGAGTGGTGATGCACAGGCTGCCTTGTTGGGTGATGCGACCTTTTCCTCTCCAATACCTCCTTCAATGTACCTCAATAGACGGCCTAACACAGTCCAACTAATTAGAAAATATTTAATATTGCATGACTTTGAAATACCATCCATGCTATACACAGGTATTAGGTCCTGAAATTTTTTCACAGTCGAAACAGCCCTTTTAGATTGTGCTTCATCTGGTTCTGGTGGTCCAAAGTACCGAAAAACATACCTGAGAAAGTCCTACATGAAATATTTAGAATCTGAATCTGGTTTAATGTTGGGGGACTCACCATCATCTTGAGAAAATTGCCCTTCAATGAAGGAGAAAGTAAGGAAGAATCAGGATGATATTTGTTGACCCCGATCACTTTCCATTGAACGGAACCTAACTCTAAATTGTGGCTTGATGCATCGTCCAAAGACCCAGTATTTATTAATTTAAATGGGTAGTGTGCATGGGCGTTCACAAGTGCGTGTTAGCGTGATAGTAGTGTGCTAGTGTGTGCAGACACGTGCTGGTGTGTGGACGAGCGTGCAGATGCGTGGATGAGCGTGACCTTCAGGGGTCAGTAACGTGATGATGTGTGCTGATGCGTGTCAAGGTCCTGAGCATGCGTGACTGCTGCGTGCATCACTGATTCAGTACAGAAAGTTGCTATTACCATCATTACAGCGTCTTTCACTGCCGTTTGCACACATGAATCGTAAATTTCCTGTTTGCTTCTGTTGTCCTCAGGGTTTTTTTGTCACACATTGGCCCAGAACGGATGAGTTTTTCTTAGGGATCTTGAGTGAACCAGCGTCTGACCTCACTCTAGCCCTTGCCCATGACAACTCAAGTCTCTGGATACATAATCATCTGGCATGAAGAAGAATCCCGTTCTCCTCGTGAATTTGCTGACCTGCAGATGTTCAATTTTCAGTGACAAAAAAACCTGAGCGTAACAGGTACAACAGAAGCAAACACGAAATTATGATTCACGCTGTGCAAACGCAGTGAAAGACACTGTAACAATCTTTAAGATGTTTAAACTTAATTGACGCCATATGGGAATGACAAAGCAATTCAGAAGGATTGAATTTAATGATGTCAAGATGGTTTTTCTCTGCCAGAAAATGGGGAAGTTTTTACATGATTGCATCATTATGTCTCACATTTTTCTATGACATGTTTAAAAAAGCCATGCAACACCGGGCTACTAAAATAATGTGTATACAAAGGAAAATAAAGCTATAAAGCTTGCTGACCGGAAAGCCAATCTTGTCTAATCTTGTCTTCACTTCGTTGTTTTGTTAGACTTATTAGAGGATGTTCCTTCCATTATTTCTCAAAAAAATTGGGATGGGTAGGAAGCCTTTCTTTAGTTCTACACATTTCAATTGTTTTCAGAGAAAGGGGCTATGAGTGTGGAGGTCATTTGCGTAAATATAGAGCCCGAATGGACCGGATTTTGTTCCCCAAAGGTGGGAAACATGACATCATCAGAATTGATACTGTGCCCACTTTAATTAAATAACAAAAACTCATTATATTCCATCTTTATTCTATGTACGCCAGATTTACTCATTGTGCAGTGTGCTTTCAGGCGTCGCGCTCACTTTTGGCAGAGTTTAATCGCCCTTGAGTGGCGTGGGAAACGGATGAATTCAGACCTCCGTTGGAAAGTTATCTTCTGACTGTCCTTATTGTAGTATAGTGATATAATAGGTGCTTTAATCTACACACAGCAGTCTATTTTTCGTTAAATTGGCACAGAATATTGCCAGGATGGTACACGCGTGCACCATCATCTGCGTGATACTTGCGTGGCAAGCGTGCAAGTTGCGTAACATGCGTGAAAATTAGCACGCAAGTGGCACGCACGCCACGCTCGTGCCACGCAGATTTCTAGTTGCCCACAATAAATCCTTATGGTATAACCGCCTCAATCGTCCTCGTTCTAGTATCCTTCAGAAATGTCACCAAATCCGTCCCACCAGTCCCCTTGACCGGCTCCCTCCCTTTCCCCTCCCCTTGCAACCCCTTTGAATTCCTTAAACTCGCCGCTCTCCTCGCCGGACCCAATATATACAAATGCGCAATAATCATATGCGCATCCCTAAACTTCTTCAAAGCCCCCACCGCCCGATTATACGCTCCCTCCAACTACCCATCCCTCGCCCCAACCACAAACTCCCTCAACGGGCGAGGGCTCTCCATGAGATGATCAAGGAACAACCGATGTTTTCTGGGCATGTACGATTGCATGCGTTGCATGAACGATGGATTGCCGTGGTTCACACCTAAAAAGGAGTCCAAAGCGTGAATGAGCGAGCTCTGTCCCGCACTGGGACCAGATAGCTCCTCCGGGACAAGGAGCCCCTCCTCCGCCAGCCCTTCATACACCCATTTCCGCTTGTTCGCGTCCGAGTCTTCACCGCAGAACCACGGTCGTACTTGGTTATAGTACGTATCTGGATCACAACCATTACGGACGTCATTCATCAACGCACGAAGTTCGTCAATGACGCTGGAGAGGGTGGACAGGTATTGGGTGACGTGGCGCACTGCAATGGAGTCGTTCACGGATGTCTCGTCCATGGTTGCACGTACAAGTTGGAGAGCCTCGACGCCGCGCAACTCAATACGCGCAGAGCAGTGGTAAAACTCCTCTTCGTCTCTCAGTCCTGTGAATAGTGTTTGGGAACGGACGTTGAGAGGTGTTGGGAAGTCTTCACTGGTACATATGACCCAGTTGTACAGGACGGTGTCGGAGAAGGTGAGTAACGGTGGGATGTCGAGCTTCTGAGAAATGCGGACAAGAGGAAGAGATATGGGTTTGGGTATACAGATGGGAGACGTCAGAGGCAGAGTGTGGATGTAGAAGTGAAGAATATAAGTTAACACAAGATGGGCTCGACGTAGAAGCATGGGCGAATCCAGTTCGCAAATGGGTATGACCGGCAGCTGTCAAACTCAGTAAGTGTACGCCTTGAAATTTGAAACCCAAGCCGGCAAAACAACGCACCTGACGAACACGTACGCGCCATGCCTCTGACGCCTCAGCTTCCTCGACAGCAAGACCCACTTTACCCCCAAGCTGCAATTTCGCATGAATGGCAGCGTCTAGTATAGTTTCCCATAACTCCCAGAGTTGAGGGAGGCGGGTCAGGGGAGGAGAGGGAGGCATGAAACCAGCACGCTCGTCAACATCGAAAGCGTGAAGTTCATTTTCGTAAGGAGACATTCAGTATAGATAGAAATGAGAGAGGACGAAAAGGAGTGGCTCTCTTTTACATAATTCCGCTGTCGGGTCTTATCCGGCTGACCGGTCCTCTCAACGCGACATTTTGGATCTGATTTTTGAAATCGCCAGGCAAGTAAGTAACCCATCTTGTAAGTAAATTCGTTCTTACCGTGTGCATCTAAAACCGAGATGTTGATGTTGCTGAAACGTGNGCGTCAATTTCCAGCTAAATGCAAAACCCTAGACACCTCGCCGAAATTTCTTGACTCCGCCTCGCTTTGTGCAAACAACCATTTGAGGAAGGAAGCGAGCACGAATGACGCAAGTCCTCCACCAACTCAGGTATATGTCATGTAATGGAGTGCTCCACGCTCCAATTGAGGTTATTATTGAGCCAAATGCGGCTGTTTGCACAAAGCGAGGCGGACACCAGAAATTTTCGGGAGGTGTCTAGGGTTTTGCATTTAGCTGTCAAGAAAGTATCTAAAAACGCATCAACACGTGACAGGACGCATCTCGTCATCATCTGCAAACATCTGTCAACATCAAGTCAACACTATGCCATCTATTAAGAACCACTCTCAAGCATGACCATCGTTTGCGATTGACGACTTGAAGATGCGGTGGTTTCAGCAGATTTAGGTGATTATCATTTCAACAACTGGCCGGATGGCATCGCATCGCGGTGTCGTCGCAAGTTTATGGATAAGTAAGGCGCTCACTAATGGTATGCTCTTCCACCACTAACGCACGCCATTAAAATAATTTCCGAACCCCATAAGCTAGTATTGCACTCCTGAACTTTCTCGCATTGGTATCAAACAACACCCTACGCCAAAATTTGACCCCACGGCCATCGCAGCACTCACTCTCACGCGTAGCGCCCACTCGAGCGTTAAACATCTCCACACGACGTAATTCATACCGACTACAACTCACGCGTTGGCATTCTAAAAAACTAAGATAAGGTATCGTGAATCAAATTATCGTTTTGTTTGAACGAATATCGAAGGACGCCGTTTGGATTTGAGGTACTTACATGAAGGCTGTCTCGCTGCAAGAGATATGGAGAACAAATATATGTTCTTCCGTCTGGGATGAAAAATATGTATTCTACGCTCTAAAGTAACAACGCCACGCTTTAATTTCTCGCAATTGTCTGTTACGCTGGATTACACTAAAGTTGTGCATCATTCAAAAGCTTGAAGAGGCGTGTGGTTCATTCCCGGATATAAGCGTATCATGCTATCCATCGTTTTTGGAATCGGTTTTCTGGTTTGCTAGCGTCCAAATTAACATGAAGGTCTGTAAGACCATCGGTATACGATGGTCGTTGCCTTTTCATGCATTCTCGAATATGAAGCACGACCCTACTCGTCAACAGCGAATGGAGTACGCGTTCCACACTTGACTTCATCAGTCATTTCGCACGTAGAGGCAGAACATAAACGTACTTAGAAATAACTGCGAAATAGTTCGTCTGCAGAAATTTGGTGGTGAGTTTGGTTCTCAGACGAAGACGCAATGTATAGGCTTACAGAGAGCGCGCACAGGACTACGACGTTGACTATTGAAAGAGCTTTTGCTCCTTTAGCCCACAGCGAATGGGTTGTGCCGACCATCGCTTACCAAAAAGGTAGATATACATTATTATCCCTATGTTTGAAGGCAATTTAGCTACATCTCTTCCAGTGAAATTCAATATCTTACCGTCGCGATATATGACATGATGCAGATCAACATTCCCTCCTCGCCGATCTGAAAGGGCAGCTTATGGGCAAGCGGAAATTAGATAATGTATGGGTCTTACAGGAAGCAATTCCAGGAATCATCATCAAGACCAGTATTACTGGGAGACAATTAGTTGCGGATGCCGTACACCAATGTAGAAATTGATGCTTACCGGCTTCGTAAATCATCAATACAACATAATCCAAATACACGATGCGATTTGCGCTGGTGAGAAAGCAACCTACAAATTCTGGATATGGCTTTTTACTGACTTCACATGGGGTGTCAATTGCGGTGAGATGACGGTTAAACATGACAGATGGTGACACACATTGCAGGTCGCGAAGGAAGATTCTCGTCACAT